TTCTTTTACTTTATTTATATGCATTTTATCGTAGCCAAGATGGCTAGTTATTTAACTTGCAAATAAAAAAATACAGCCATTATTATTGGAACATATGCTAAAAAATAATGCTCCATGTTATCCCGACAAACGTAACTCAATCAAACAAATAAGGGGGGAAAATTGCTAGATACTTTAGAGTACCAACGACCTTTGTGAGGTACCCGCTTATTCAGTTTTACAACACGATATACTCAATTATTCATTTAGTAAGATAAGAAGAGAATGCAAAAAGTAACTCTCAATATACAAAATATTGATAGAATTTGTCAATTTTTTATGTAAAAGGTGTGCATAATGTATTTTGTAAGAGTCCGACAAGGATTTCCACAAAGCTAAATGCTGTGTGTACCTTCCCCCTTCCTCCTTTTTTGAATTAAACTGACAGATTTTGATATTTTTTATTCCTTTTTTTTACCGTTGAACGAAGAAACTGTCACCTTCACGCACATTATTTCCTTCTATGATCATAATATGATAAATGTAAAGAAGAAAAAAAATGTCTGATTCCCCTGTCCATGAATATTTCAACACCTGACTTCTTACATACAAATGTAAAGAAGAAAGTAAGGAGAAGGGACGCAAATGTTAGATAAATTAATAAATCAAGACCACAAACTCTGCTTTTTAAATAAAAATAATATAACACTAGAAAGACGGCAAAGTATTTCTACCTAGAATGACGGAACAGTCATTTGACTTCTCTTTTAATTTTTCAATTTGTTCTCAACTATACTTGATATTTGAATGAATAATAATAAATATATTGAGACTAAAAAAATATGGTCAATAAAAAGGTCAAATAAAAAATATAACTAGATTATTATTATTATTTACCTTTTAAAAGTGACAAATTTTACATAATTTCGAATTTCCATTTTTGCCGGTACATTTCCACATATGATTCTCTTACATCTGAAGCATTTGATGCTAGATTTATTCTTTTGCATTTTTTTTCACTTAGTAAGCTTTTCTCTTCATTGGGGTCTTCTTCATTATCATTTTCTACACCACTAACATCTTCATCGTTTCCACCATACTTGGCCTTGTTCATGATTGTTGTTCTTGCATGAGTTGCAGATGAACATCCTTCGACTTATGTGGGTTTTCCAGTGATCTTATTGTATATTATTTTAGTATTGATGGCCGCCATATCTAAAATATTATAGAAAGCCTGTAGGGGACATCGTCTTGATGCACATTGGTGGTATATAAACGAGCCATCGATCTATATTATCAACTCCAGATTTTGTCTGTTTGTAAAAGAAACACTTTCTGGAAGTTTTTTTGGAGTATCAGAAATACCAACCGAATTGTGTACAGGACATTAGGACTATACGTTTTAAAGGCTTGCCTTGATAGACCGTAAAAGTGAAGTCTTTATGCTTCACTACTATTGCAGAATGCAGAGGCTGTTTCATGTTCTTGATTGCTTTGGGCACCTCCCTCCTCATTCTTTTCATAGTTCCACAATACTTGTATTCTTTTTTTCCAGTGATTTAGCCGATTCAGTGAAATGAAGAAATTTTCACTGTTGATGTTTTGTCTTGTGTTGAGACATGGCTCTGCAAGTTTCATTACAACCAAACTCTGAGAACGACTGATTTTTGGCCGATGTCATTTTTTCCTAAGTAGTAGAATCCATTGACTAGTAGTGGGACTCAGCATCTACAGCCAACCAAACTTATTCCGAATTTATCGAGCTTGTTTGACATGTATTGTGTAAATGGGGAACGTAACTTGCTGGAAAAAATTGCTCATATTGGCCGGGTTTTGTAACAGGCAATGCAAGTTTTCTATAAATTGGTTACAAATTGTAGAAGTCAATGCAAATTTTTCACTTTGAACTCGTTGAATGTGCAAAGATCTTATGTCGACCGGATATATTTCAGGAGCTATTTACATTGATGCGACTCATGGTCTCTCTGAAATACGGTGGACCCCAAACTTTGGACCAAAGATCATGCATTGGGTGTCCTTTGGCAATGAGTCATAAGAGATTCAAACTTGTTGCAAATACAAGTATACCTACTTGCAACAATAGCGTTTTAAACAGGTTTATACTTTTTGCACAAACAGTAGTTTTCTAAATCTATAAAAAAAAGTCATTTTGACTTCTCCGTCATCTAGTATAAATTGTCATAACTCTTCACTGATTAAAATATTTATTAGATATTTATTTGTTAAATAATTAAAAGTCATAAAATTGACGATATATGACATTTAAGATATAGCTTTCTAAAGTCGAAAAAACAGTCAAATTGACTTCAACGTCTTTTTAGTGTTAAATGAAATGATTATGATAATCAAATATATAACTGTTAACTGATCCTTTGATACTTGTGCCATACATATTTTTTTCTTCTTTTAAAATCTCTAAGTCATCTGAGGTGACCAATGGACCTAGTTAAAGTATAATTTGGGGTAAAACTCTGTACTATTTTAATAAATTAATATGGTTCTTGATGACAATCAGATTATCAATTTGTGGAGACTATACCTACTTAGTATAGAGCAACACGCGTTTTGTGCTGCTCTGTGTTTTATTTGTTTGAGAGGATTTGTGCGCATTTGGACCTCTTTATTTACTTAAACAGTGTTTATAAGGTTCAATCCTCTTACTGTGAAAAATTTGTGAAAATATCTACGTTTAGTAAACTATCGAGTAAAGATTATTCATTAATATGTCCAAGATACCTAATATAAAGTTTATATATGTATATATAATTAAGAACGATTATCTAGGGGTTTCTCATTATTTGATATATTGAGCTCTAATGGTCATAGTTATAGTTACCGAAGAGTGCAAACTAGAGGTCACCGATATATATGTTGCCGATGTTACATCTTTCAAATTATTGCTATCGGCAAATTTAGTACCGATGCTTCCATTTTTTCTTTTATCGAAGATTAACTTTTAAGAATTATTATTTTCTGGGTTTCAAATGGTGCTATAAAAGTCAGGGTGTTGAAATCGTTTAAAACAAAAAATATTGGTCTGGATGAACATACATAAAAATATATTGATCATAATATAAGGGTAACATATTTTTTTCCTCAAATTCACCAGTCTCGCCGCAAGAGCGCTCCAAATACGCCTTCTGAAAAGCATGCAGCAGTCACAGAAGGAGTCCCTGGTATGGGTGCCCACTTTTTGTTGACGGTTGACATCAGGGATTCCACATTAGTATGATATATAGCTTTATTCAATTAATATTACTAGATAGAATTGAAGGAGTCCAATCAAGGATTCGGCAATGACGTCATTACTTTTTTATTATTCCAAACTCCTTTTTTTCGACCAATCACATTAAGAAGGACCACTTTTCACTATCCATTTTTTTTGGTTAACTTAACCCTCTGCGATCATATGAATATGTTTTATATAAATCACTCATTTAACATATTTTTCCTGTCTCCCATGAGAGTAATTGATATTTAACTAAAACAAAAGAAACAGAAATTGTCAATGGGCATTAATTATTCACATGTTAAAAACACACTTTCAAAGATATGACTTGTCGACTTGATTAATATTATATCGCAACTGCGTTCATAGAGGGAAAACAAACCCTCCAATTGGTTAGCTTTAGATTTTATACTTGTCGAGAATGCTAATAAAAGGTATATTTTAGATACATTTTTAATATTTTTGCATTAAACACTGTGTCTATTTTTATTCTTGAAATAATTGACTCGCTTTTCTCTCTTTCCAAATGAACAAAATATGTCCATTTGTCTAACCATCAATCAATGTAGACATTATATATAAATATATATAAATACAAAAGGTTTTTTTGCTATATGATTCGACAGAACTGCATCCGACTGGATATAATAAGCGTTATAATTAGTCGATCGAATCTAGGATCTTATAATGGGGTAGACCCAAAATAACCTTCCCCCCTCTCAGGATTCGAACCTGGTCCCCCAACATTGAGAGTTTTAACATACCTCAACACACATGGCTACGCACTCCAATAAAAGGTTTCTCCTTAAGAGAACTGTAGAAATTTCGCATTTGGCGTGACCCAAAGAAAAATTTTTTCCGCCGTTAAAAGTTTCGAAATTTACCGGATTGATACAGATTGCTTAAGTTCCAGAGGACAATTTTTTTAAAATAGGGGTGTGCGATAGCTCAGCGGAAGAGTGCCCTGCTTTCAATGTTGAGGGTGCAGGTTCGATTCCCTTGAGAGCAAGGTCCTGATAAAGCCCAGTATGTGGGATACCCCCTTCATCGCACAAAATTAGTATTCTGGTGACCTTCCAGAACATAAATATAAACTAAAACATATTAGTAACTATAAAAATACAACATTCCTTAAGTCCATTTGGTTTATCTCTATACTCATATCAATAAATATTGAATTATTGTAAGCCTTGAAATTTCCGTGAGAACAATGACCAAGAACTCAAGCTGGAAGCATTTCCATGCACGTAAAAATCAATTACGACTTGCCTCATTCTTGCATTTCTTCTACTATTACCTATTAGTACTATTATTTGGATTAAAGTTTTTAATGCATTAAAATGAGTATAAATCTCGAAAACCAATATCAACATATATATTTTTCTGTAGAAATGATCAAATGGAGTATTATTTTAATAAAAATAGATATGGAATAAGAAATTCTTTTTATTGGAATATTTTTTACTGCATTTTTCTTTGCTTTCTGTCCTTTCAAACGCTACTACTGCTAATTCCGATGATATAATCATATATCCAGCCAGTTAGGCTTAGTATTGGGTTTTTACAGGATAGTTAAAAGTGAAAGTGCATCCATCCATCATGAGTGGGTAAGAATAAAAGAGATGTAGGCAAACTTTTTATACAATAATATTTTCACACAATCGAATATTCTTATAAAGAAGATTTTGTTTTCTAGGTAAGCCTACAGATTTCGGATTTTTAAGGAGCGAAGCCCACTAACAATGTTTTACTGACTATACAAATATAAGGAAGGTCTACATATATTATTAGAAAGCGTGGTTGTTTTCCATATGAAGAATATTTAAAAAGGTTCAATTGGCAAATGCAATTAATAAAATTCATATTAACAAACTAATGAAAAAAATAAATCTCTCACATTCAAGTTATCTGTATTTACTAACATCATGAATAATAACAATGGCTCTAAGAACAAATGGGTATTAATCATTAAGACGCTAAAGAGTGGTAAGTTGAAGATCTCTGTTGCATTCATAGATAAAAATAAGTATAAGCTATGGTATAAGGGACACATATCAAATAAATACTTATGCTATTCTGCTCAAAGTATATCTTTTTCACAACAAAAGCTTTAACGCTATGACATGATTAAAGAAAGAATACTAGAGATAATTGAGTTCATCTGGCATAATAATAACTGCACGGTTGTTACACCAGTGGAAAAGGATAAATTAGAAGCAAATGGCTCGTAAAATTTATTCCAACATAAGTCGCCAAAAATATTTTGGCGAATAAAATGAACATGGCAATGATGAATTTCGGGAGGCTCTAGCATCAAATAACATTCCCATAGCCCTCAAAATTATGAACAGCAAATTTTGTCGATTTTTAATTAACCTTTCTGGAGATATAGGGAAACGAATGAACAGACGAACGGAATGCTTGTTCTATAGTATAGATAAACTAAATTTATTTTAGAAATGGCATGATGATATAAATATTACAGGTTAATATTTTATAAATGAATAATATATTCAGTTTAGTCCTTTGTGCATAGATTTTAAATCAATTTACAGTCTGAGAGCCTAGTATTAACCAAAAAAAAAGAAGAAATCTTTTGCAAGCTACTGATATTCTAAAAAATATGTATTGCTATAGAACACTCCCCTTTCCATTTAGAAGTCCATTGATTTTTATTCTCCACTCTCAATAATTGATTGTGTCCTTAGGAATCATTACCAAAACATTGTTTAAAAACTTGTTTTTGATTGTCCTTTCTTCTTATCTTGCTAAATGAATTGAATAAGTTATGAGGGATGTAGCCTTGGAAAAATTTATCTATATAGATCAATTCATATATAAACATAATGTTGATTGAAACATTGATTTAAGAAAATACGGTTATTGAATTTTTAATAAAAATGATCTAACATTCAACATGTGAATCTGTCTTGGTTTGATTTCAGAAGCTCATTGTTTGAAGGGAACACATGAACTCATAAAAGGTTCCTCCACCCTTAATGTTTTGACTCCTAAGAAGGAAGGGTCATCCAGAGAGGTGGAATTTATTCCAAATAATATTTGATTCAATTTTAATTGTTCTCACGTCAATTTGCTCTATTGATCACCAAACAAATGCACCCGATATCATTCTAATAATTATTTTATATGATATAATACCGATTGAGGAGCACCAACGTGGGAATGGACTGATGATATAATCAAATATGTGCTTGCAAGATCGAAGCACTACATGAAAACTATCAAAAGGATTTTAAAAAAGTAGTTACACAAATGTAATAAATGATGTATCCTTTTATATATGGTTAATCTTCAGGGGGACGGGAACTAAAATGTTCATTTATGTATTTTTGCAACTGCCCTGTATAATTTTACTCCGGTTCCCGTATATAACTTTACTGTATTTTATTTTTACACACTATAAAATGTTAGCCGATTGCCGAATAAGATGTTTTAACCAAAAAATAGGTATAATATCAATTTTTACCATAGAAGATAATATATATAAAGCACTTATATTCTTGTTAGAGTATCTTCAAAATCAGTCCTTCAAGAAAGTTTAGTGGGCTTTGAATCATTCCTATTATTAAAGTTATTTACAAAAAGTTTCACATATCCATATCTTTGATTTGTTCCTTGAGATCTATGACCGGACATTTAGCACCCTAGCTAATAATTGAGGGTATAATATCTTAATTCAAGAAAACATAAGAAATGTGCATCCTTTTCTTCAGTGAACCCATTTGTATTCATCCATGTTACCAAGCCGGCGTTGATGGCAGTGTTTGATTTCCCATATATTATGCAAATATTGTTGCTTTTTTTAGATTCAACAGTTCATTTGTTCATGATATGTACAACAGAATACATAAAACCTAAGATAATGTATGAAAAATCATAAAAGTAAATATTTGAATTTACAATTTTATCATAGGGGTTGAACTAAAAGCATTATTTTCAATCATAAAATACAATAAAAAATTAATTAACATGTGTACTAAAATATATTAACAACAATTTTGAGCTTTAAATGGCATTACTTGCAATTCTAAAATTCTTTATTATTGTAGATAATGTCTTCCGGTGGATGGATGCAAGGGAAGGAAAGTACTTAATTTCCTTCGAGGCCACAGTCCATGATATTGTTGCTTGAGTAACCGCAATGCTTAACATCTACATCATATAAAAATGCGAAAATAACCCAGGAGGGTTTTATATTTATATAAATGCATAAATATATTGGGCGTTTTTAGTGCAGCTTTTTAAAAAGTTCATGAGAGCCAATGAGAGCCACTTATTGTCACAAGGCTCTGCTTGTAGGTCCAACTATATATGTAAATATAATTAATATTCATGAACCAGGAAAAAGTACTTATGAAGGAGGCACAAGGTGCTATTAAGCACAGTGAAAATGCAGGCGTGTTGAGGCAAACAAAATACCCTGCTGTTAATTATATACTCTAAGTGTTCATACACTTCTTTAGACCTATTTGGCGCCTGTATTATAGAGGGATAAAATGGTTAACGTTTCTATTAAATTAGCTTAATAGATAGAATGTTATGTTGTGTTTATGCTGAGTCAATTTATGCTTTTTACTACTTATTCACCCTTGTATACATCACAAAATATGAAATCATTATAGTTAGATTCATACATTGCATGTTATTTAAGGTATATTGTTTTATAGTATTTCGCTCTAAAACAGTTTAATAATGCATTGTAAAATATATAATTAAAATAATACAAGTGATAATGTAGTGTTAAAATCAGCTAAAAAATTAAATATATGCGTCAATTATTTTAAACCAACCATAAATTCCTTTAAGATGTCAATGTGCGTGTACGTCAAGGCGTGTTCAACTCTCATTGTTGGGGGCGGAGGTTCGAATCCCGAGAGGATATGGGCATTTTTGGTCTACCTCATTGATAAAATTCTAGGTTCGATTGACTGATTTTAAAGCTATAATGCTTATTTATATCCAATCGGATGCAGTTCTATCGAAAAAAAGGCAAAAAATGTCAATAAGTTATGTCTTTCATTTAAAGGATAAACTCGTATGTTTTTCACAATTTTGCAAATAGCTCTTGCTGCTTTATTCCAAAGAGTACAAATATGTTTAGCTAAATATGCATTTACGTTGATATCTGTGAAAATTGAGCTTGTGTTTCTCATTTCAGATCTAAATATCGAATTGTGTTGCCAATGCGTCTTTTTCGAAAAAGCTGATCAATGATTTATAATATACTCTTTCTGGTTTAAATTTGAGCACCACTCGTAATCGAGATCGAAATAAATACTCTGGGCATTGAAATTTTGAAATAAAATAAACTGAAGAAGTTTTTTAATATACTTTAATCTGAAGCTTTTTGTGTATGTAAACGTTAAGTGTCCTCTTATCTTTTATATCACATATGCATATCTTCATTCTATCACCCAGAAAATATGATAACATTGAGTGACGTTAACTTTAATTTAAGCTTAAGGATGTGAAAAACGATATCCATATGGGCTAGAGTGTAATGTTAGAATATCGCTTTGATCACAAAGAGTTATAAGAAGATATATATATGTAAAGTAACAATACTTTAAAGGGTTTGTCGAAATGGAATTTTATGCAATAAACGCGATCTATAACTAGTAATCTATGTCTTCCAAAATACTGCTTTTTATGCAACGTTTCTAAAAAAATAACAAACTTCATTGACAGATTTGATATGACAGAATTGTAAAACTGTTATGTTTAAACATAAAAAATAAGTAAGGACTGTATCAAAATCGATGGAGAAAGAGAAAATAACAAACTACCACTTTTCCTATCAAGATCTCACAACCAAAAATGGCAAATGATCATTCTCAGCTAACTAAAATATGAGAAATGGTTAGGTACAACGAAATTTTTTAATACTTCTTTTTTTATAACTCTGCCCCCCCCCCCTGACTCGTATCGCATACCTTCATAACACATACATTCTATGAAACGCTCATAGTTTACACTATACGTCGGAAT